CCCACAAATTACCATTCATGATCAGGCGAATTAAATTAAAAGCCGAAATATTCAGTGTGCAGACACTGGACACCACCCACAGTTGTCACGTGAAGCATAGTTAGATGTGTTTCCAGAATAGCAACTTCAACAGATAATATTTGGGAAAGCCTACCCAGGCATTATCCACTCGTAAGCCAAGAAATTGTAAGTGGTAAAATAAAACTTATATTAACACACTTCAAAAACTATTGTGCTCTTCACTGAACAATCCTGTGTAGAACACAAATATCTTGCGTGGTGCTGACATTTGCCTAATAGATTAAGTACACAAATATCAGGAAAAAATACTTACCAATAGCATCAGGGACAACTCGCTCTGGGTAAAGATCCGTGAGAAAGAGACTGTTGACCAAGGTTGATTTCCCAAGACCGGATTCACCAACAACCATAAGAGTGAATTCAAATCCTTTCTTGACAGACTTCCTGTGTACTTGATTTGGGAGGTTAGCAAACCCAACATATCCAGGGGTTTCAAGGCTTGCGAACTGTTGGGAGCACAAACCAATTAATAATTAGTGTAGAATTACCAAATGTATAAGAAACCAAAATCAACAAATAGCATGAATAAAACTAGCAGCAGCCAGCAGAGAATAATACAAACTGCCAGAATATCATCAATATTTAGTAAGAGAATCGTCAGTTAACTAGAAACCAAGCAATTTCAGAAAAACAATAAACAAACTACCTGTATCACCTAACCTACGTAAATTACTACAGCATCTGTGTTAGAATAGTGCCAAACTTGGCCACAGTCATCCAAACATTAAAATATATTGAAAAGCAGTAAGTACAACTTAAAATTTCGATTGAAGAGTGGTTTTCGCAACAGGAAAAGGAGACTTAGAGGAGAAAATGGACAGGTACAAAGTGTCTGACCAGTGGAGTTCACAAAACACGAGCACTTTCTTACCGTTTTAACAGATTCACTAGACATTGTGGATGTACAAAAGAACGTTCTAAGTGAAGGGTTACGAATATATAAGCAATTTGAATGAAAATACAACACGGTTTCAGCAGGAGTCGTCGCCGGGCTCACTGCTGGGGCTCATTGACAGTTCACAGGGGCCTAAGTTTTGTCATGAATTCAAACAAGCATCCCAACTGACTAATACGTGAAAATAAATTCTTCCTAGAAAACCAAACTGAAAAACATGAAATTCTATCATTTAAGCAATAAAAACGTCATTAGAAATTTTTTTAGCACTTTTAAACAATTAAAACGGTGAAAAGTCTCCAAAAATAAACCTCGTAAATATTTGTCATGGTGGTAATTGTGGAAGGCACTTTTGGACGTTGTTTACGAAAAGGCAGAGAACAAGTAGTAAGGTTATGATTTTGATTGATCAATTTAAGGCTTTGTCAGTTTTACTTTTTTGAAGAAACTTTGTGATTTGTTCCCTCTTTGCGCTGTTTTAAAATTTCCACGCTGTTTAGTGAATTTGGATGTTAGAAGAGCACAGCTTCGACTTTATCTCTGCCTTGCAGCGAACTGTTTAAGAAGGGAAAAAGGAGGGGGGAGGGGGGGGGGCACGAGAGGGGGAAAGGGAAAGGGAAAAATGGCGACTGTGTTGTGAGGATAAATTTATCTTTCCCAATTTCTGATTTGAAGTTCGCCTGGTTCAATCTGTAAGACAGGTGTCATTCTTTCTATATTTTTAAAAGCGCGAAGTTTAACTACGTTTCAGCTGCATGGTTACAGTATAATGTTGCTGAATACAAATTGTCACTGCTATTGTGAAAGATTGTGATGAAGTGTAGACTTAATTCTTGAAAATATTATCAGAAAGTCTACTTTTAGAAATTTAGAAGAAGTTCTACTGAAGGACTGAAAGATGGCCAAAGAAGAAGTAGATGACCTGTTGCCTGACAAGGATGCTGCCAAGGAATTTTATGCTCGATATGAACCCAAGGAGATTCTAGGAAGGTAGGGACAATACTCAGTTTCCTTACCTATCTTTGAATTTCATGTCTTTATAGCACACTTGAGTAGTCTGTGATTGTCACATAGCATGCGACTTGTACTGTGAATATATGAATCTTTTTATGTTACTGCCAACTGATGTAAAGCTCATTTTTCCATGTCTTCTTTTGGTTAATATCCTATCAGGGGAATAAGCTCAACAGTACGTCGCTGCATTGAAAAAGAGACAGGGATTGAATTTGCAGCCAAAATTATTGATTTGAGTAATGATTCACATGATGGTGGTGGCGATGGGAAAACCATGCTTGAAGCAACTATAGAGGAAGTGAAGATTCTTCGATTAGTTGCTGGGCATCCTTATATCAGTAAGCTTTACCCCTACAATTTTGATTTAAAATTAATTAAGACCTATGTACAACTAAGTCACTATTTTTTGCCCTAGTTGAAATGCATGATGTCTTTGAGTCAAGTACTTTTATATTCCTAGTATTTGAGCTATGTAAAAATGGAGAATTGTTTGACTACCTGACAACTGTTGTCACCCTATCTGAAAAGAAAACTAGGTATGATGTGTTAAATTATTATTATTTATCATCTAAGTTCTAGAGAAGTGTGTGTTTATTTGGTTTTGATGTATTACAGATATATTATGAGACAGCTTTTTGAAGCTTTAAAATATGTCCATTGTAAGAACATAGTCCACCGTGACCTCAAGCCCGAAAATATCCTCCTAGATGACAATTTAAATATTAAACTGACTGACTTTGGATTCGCTCGTGTATTACAACCTGGCCAGAAACTGACAGGTGAAAACTCTTTGTTCTTATGTGTTTTTTGTAGGTTATTGCTCTGAAACCCTACAATTCACCTTCAGTTAATCATCCTATGTAGAACTTTTATTCATAAGTTAGTCAGGGATTACGGATTACAGACCATAAATATTTGGTTGAAATCATTTGTGGTGTGCATGTTGGCTACTGTTACAACTCCTTTATCCATTGTATCACCTTCTAATTTTTAGATTTGTGTGGAACTCCTGGTTACCTTGCCCCTGAGGTATTAAAATCCAACATGTTTGAAGATGCAGAGGGCTATGAAAAAGAGGTGGATTTGTAAGTAGTACTAATAGAATTATTATCACCTGCATGCACCTCGCATCATCCAAAATCACCTCATATGCATAGCATTCTTATTGTTTGGTTTGTTTGCATTATCATGGCATGTAAGTTTAGTAATGCATGTTTCCCTTCTGCTCTCACGTACTCATGTTTTAAAATCTTATTGTTCTCCTATACTTTCAATTTCTTTCACATTCTTTGGCTACCTAATATTTATATCATAGATTAATTCTTCCTCAGTGGTGTAATTGTTTCCTTTTGTGTCCCTCAAACGTTCTTAAAGAGAACACCTGTCATGCAGGCATTTTTACAAGTGAGACAGTTGATCCTAATTTTGAAGAAACCCTTGTTGGCCAACTAAAATGACCACTTTCTGTTCAATTGATCCCTAAATTTTGCTTCTAAATAATTTACTCTTCTGTGTGGTTGTTTTTTTTTTGTGTGTGTGTAGAGCTTTGTGGCACCCCGGGATACGTCTCTCCTGAAATGCTCATGACTGCTATGTGTGATAATGAAGAAGATGCAGAAGGTTATGACTTGCCAGTTGATATGTGAGTTTTGCTCTGCTCATTCTTTAAGTATATACCTTTCCCTAGGATTTTGCCTCAGAAATCATTATTTGATAGAAAAGAAAGGGGTGTGCAATGGTATCTCTCAACCATGAGTACCAACTCAGTATGAATCCAAAGATAGGTAGTGTTTTTCACAACTCGAAGCTTCTGCATGGCTTTGCATACCTGTCCTTGTTCGCTTCTAATATTTTCCTTGAGTTTTTCCAGCTTGCCCTTAATCTTAATATTTTTTTTCCCAAACATTTACTTTCTTGTGTTTTGAAATTTCAATGTTTTTACTGGTTGTGATAGCTTGTGGTACTTCTAAATCTTATTTCATTATAAGTCCCTTTCATTGATTTCTAGGTGGGCTTGTGGTGTAATAATGTACACTTTGTAAGTATTTTTAAAATTCTATCTACAAAGTATATTAGATCTTTAATTAAACTTCATTTCAAGTTGTTCTTCTAAATTCTCAGACTTGTGGGTTGTCCACCATTTTGGCACCGAAAACAGATGGTTATGCTGAGAAATATCATGGAAGGAAATTATTCTTTTACATCTCCAGAATGGGCTGATATTTCTGGTAAGTGTCCCAAAATTCAAACAATATTTTGAGAACCCCAACACCAATTTTATCATGTGCTCAATTTCTTTTCATGTTAGAACCTCCAAAAGATCTTATAAGAAAGCTATTAGTTGTTGATCCAAAGAAACGAATCACTATAGATGAAGCCCTCGAACACCCCTTCTTCAATATTATGGTAATGTACAGTTTTCATTCTGGAATTCGTAATTTATGTTTCAGCCTTTGTGACTTTACACTTTTAGTGTTGATTGTAAAACTCTGAGTCTGCTGCACTTTACAATTTTCAACAGTCTTATTTTTCTATTGAGCTATGTAACACATTGTATTCTGCTTTAGATGTTCCTTGTCAGAAAATTAAAGTAGTGCTTTCTATCAAATTTGATTTTTACAGCTCTATTTTACTTCCTCTTTTCAAAAAATCTGTCAAAAGCATAAGAGATGAATAAAAGTTGCTTTGTCCTTCCTTTTTTCTATAAAACTTTTTTTTTCAATTGAAGTTTAGTAAGCTGAACGGCTTTATTACTTTGTAGATTAAAAGTAATCTGCTCTTTTTCTTATATTTGCAAGTTTATTAAATAATTTTGCTTTTCTTTATCGCACGATACACTATGCATCGCTGTAAGTTGTACTGTAATCAGCTCAGCACAGTAATTGTAGCTATTTATTGCATGCTTATTGATTGTGGCATGCACAGCTGTGGGACCAGGACATCGCTCCACTCAAGCGCAGTCTCTCCGTCTCTTCACGTCGTCTTAGTCGCATCTCCGAGATGGCTTTGGTAAATACAATTGTGATGCTTTGTTCTTCCTTTCTTTCTATATTAACTGCTTTTGACAAATACAGTGCATTATCTGTACCTACCTGTTTTCTTTTGAAGTGTGTTACTTTGTAAGGGTTTATCTGTAAACAGTAATTTATCTGCCTTAGATTGGAGCAAAGTAGTTGATAATACTACCTGTGCTTTGTTATGAAAGCAATTTTTCAAAATCTTGATTTATTTCTATCTTCTTTTGTCTTCTGAGTATTTCCTCTTTCTTTTCCCCCCTGCTTTTTTCTTAAAATTTTACATTAATGTACATATTGATTCTGGTTGCATCTCCTGTCTGTTCTCGTAAAAATCACTGTTGCAGTTTTTACCAGTTCATGGTTTTCCCACGGTGTTGTTTGTGTACACCTGAAAATTAAACCGTGGTGTATATTTTCCTTTTCCTTTGACAGGCTTTGAAAGCATGTGCTTTCAATGCAAGGAAGAAGTTTCAGTTTGCTATTCTAGTAGTCCGGGCTACAATAAGAATCAAGAGGTTGCGGTTCACTCCTGAACCACTTTCAGTTGGTGTTGCTAGGGTGGATCCATATCGCATCAAAATCCTACGAAAGGTAAGTGGTATGGAGAGCCAAGGCAAATGGTTAATAATGTTCCTTGTTATTAATTGTATTCTTCAAACCTCTATTGCAGGTTATTGATGGCTGTGCATTCCGTGTGTATGGCCACTGGGTTAAAAAGGGTGAAGGCCAGAACCGAGCAGCACTCTTTGAGAATACCCCAAAGACTGAGTTGAAGCACATGTACGTAAGTCATCTTAGTCGATAATAGGCAATAATGAATTCAATGTTATTTGCCAAGCTTCTGACCTGTATCATAGTACAGTGGTTAGTTTAGAATAATGACTGTGTTGGTATTGCATCAACTGTGATCAGTGGCAGGATTTTCATTCCAGCCTAATATTTGATTATTACGTTTGCTGTTTTGATCTAACTTGAATCGTTCATAAGCCCCTCTGAAATGTATGCATATAATCTAATCTGAATTGGTATACCAGAATTTCCCTAAGAGATGCATTTTTGTAAAAAGCAGTTCGTGACTTGCTAACTTCATCAGTTCTGCACTTAACCAATGCTAAATCTGCAAATCTTTTGCAGAGTATCAAGTTTAACAGTTTTTGTTGTCTTCTAGGGAAGCTTACTTAATTTGATATTATTTTGTGTCTGAATTGCTTATTTTGAGAAATGTAACCTCGGTCGACTTTGCCAATCAGAGTAAAACATTATTTGGTGCCGTGCTTTGACTTTCAATGGTGCTTGCACCTACTTAGCTCTCTTAAAGCAAACATAACATTAGTTGTGTCTGTGGTATTGATCAGTGGTGCTGTTCTTAATGATGAAAAAAAAACAACAAAAAAACAAACAACCCAGTAAAATCCTCCCTTTATTTCCAGACTTATTTTTATCACAATTTGTAGTTAGATAATGGTAATAGTCGTAATGTTATTCTGTGAAAACCAAACCCTCCTCATATGCCAAAATTTCCTGTTGTCATGAATGAACAAATGTTATCAGACCCAAGTATTTCACCCTGTAATATGTATATTGCTTAGAATGAACAAAATGCCTCCCTGAAACTACCTTTTTAAAGAGAGCTTTCATTTGGTTATAATATTTTCTCTCTTAACAAATTTAATTCTTCTAAAATCAACAAATATTATCAGCAATTGTTTTAATTTCTTTAATTTGATGTAATTTTTGTTGCTTTTGCTTGAAACCAAATATTGACTAAATGCTAGAGTAAGCCCTGGGTTTTTGTAGGATCTTAAGAAATCAGTAAACAACTTAACATCTCAGGGTTGCTTAGAGAGACCTGTACAAATGCATCAGTGTGTATCAGCTCTCATTCAGTTGCTCACCTGAATAAGTTAACATGGTGCTAAATGGTCCATGCTGCTGTATGTGCTGTTCTGGTTCCGTTTGACCATATCTATCATACTGGCAGATATTAGTAACACAGTTCCTGTAGTTTTGATTAGGATTTTGGTGCAGATGCTGAATGTCATGGTACTATTGCTATTCTGTCATCGATCTCACTCACATATTTTTAGAAAAAGCCTTCCATGCACTATAGCCTTCAATTTAATTATTGTAATAACTTAATTCTTTCTTCATTTTTTCTCTCACTTTGCTCTATTATTTCCAATTTTTTGTAAGGTTCTTTCAAAATTATTTTTTTCTGGATGGACTTTTATTGTGACATCAGCATCAGCCTATTTTGTTCCAGAATTTAGAAATATTTTCTTCTGTGGGTGTACTTTAATTTGGGAATTTGTAGAGTATTTTAAGAAGTTCTCCTCCTTTTAGTTTTAATTGTCGAGCCTGACCTGTTAGAGCACTCTCAATTATTTTCTGAGGCTTGTGTCTAACTAGATTGTGAATTTGGCTATTATTTGGTATATTCATGCATATTTCATATCATGCCCACATGGCTATTACATTTGTTTTGTACAAATCAAATTAACAAGATCATGTTTGGATTCTGAATAATAGCTTATAAATTCTACTTCTCTTAGAAAATTTGCTGACTTGCCACCCCACTAATATAATCCCCCCCCCCCCCTCTCAATAGTTGGTTCATTTTTCAATACCCCAAGAACTGAAACCATATGGCGTTGAGTGTGTCGCACGACCCTTGCAGTTTGAAGTAGTGTAAATAAGAAAGAATAAAAGCTAATGTTCTGTTATATTTTTGGATAAACAAATTTTATTTGTAAAAGTCCTTCCAGCTAGGGGGCACCTTGCAGTGTAATAACGTTTTGTGATTGTTGATATTGTTAATAAAGAGTGTTTTCGAAGATCGCGTTGTATCTTGGCACGTCTTGCCTGACGTGGGCACCCCGCTCCTCTTCCCCAACAACAGGTCGAGCTCGGCTCATGTCGTCGGCGCAAACTTCGGGGAAGTCCAGCAGCGCCCGCCCTCCCCTCGTCACGCGTGCCTGGGGCGCGGCGACAGCGAGTGTTGTAGGTCAGCCGCTCGTAGTAGTCGTGCCGCGCACGCATCACGCGGCCCAGTCCCAGTCAAGTGCCGTGGTTCGCGGTTCGCCGTTCGCCGTTCGCCTCGCGCGGCTAGGCGGGGCGCAACGCGGGCCTCCCCTCCGCCAGCGCCCAGCCGAGCCGAGCTGAGCCGAACGCGACGCCGATGTGGGGCCGAGCGCGCCGCGCCGTC